TAAACCTAGTTTTATTTTAACAAAGGTACTTGTATCGACTAAAGTTTTCTTACGGAAAGTAATTTTCAACGGAAAATTAACTAACGACCAGAGACGTTACAATACATTATAAACACTAGCAGAATCAATGAAGTATTGAGTTTAGTTTTTTCTGTTCATTCAGTAATTGAGAAATTAGTGTAGTATTCGGATCAGTAATAGGCAGTGCCAGATTAACGCAAGGGCTAAGTGGGCCGGAGCCCAGGATCCCAAAGTATTATTTAAAATGTATAATATTGAAATAAATACTTATATGATATTCAGATGCGATTATCAAACAAAAGACTGCAGGGCCGGATTTGGATGAAGAGAGGCCCTAGACTATTCCACTTGTGAGGCCCCTCCCAATCCCTCACCCTCACGACTAGAGGAAGATGGAAGAGTGTTTTAAACAAAATTCAGTGAAGCCGAGGATGATGACGGGTGTTTAAAATTTCGCAATTCACAATTCCTCCTCTAAAGGACATAAGATGTTATTGCTAAATACCGTACTGATTGAAAAGAAAAACATAAATGTTAAAATTAACATTGTGAAAAACCTTTGCAACAACCGAACTTTGTAAACATTTTGTGGAGTAAGCAGGAATTTTTAGGAAAATGAAATTGTAAGTTTACTGTTATATTATTTAAAAAACTTTGAGCTTACAAATTTTATTGGCTAGGAAGTGTCAATAAGATGATCATGACTACCTGACAGTGAGTGTGACACTTTTAGATCCTACTATATGTTGTCATTAAACAGTCAGTTTTAAAATACATATTAAGAAACAAAGAAACTACAATCATCAAATACACTAAGACTAAAAAAGTTTTTTCTAGCTTTCCTCATAGAAAAATCATTCAAAAGTTCATCAAAATTTGTTTGTCTAAGCTTGTCACTTTCAATGCACAGAATACTCGGTGCGGACAACCTCTCTTGAAACATTATGGCCCTTAATTCATTTTTAATTCTTTTGAGACTTGAAAAAGATCTCTCTCCCGAGCAGTTGGTGAACATTAAGCTAAGAAATAGCCGCATGATTGCTTCCACATTAGAGAAGGCCATCTGAATTCTTTCCTTGTATATAAGTTGATAAAGGTCTATATGAGACAGAGAGTGCTCTTCTGTAGGCCTATGGCTCTGTCTCACGTACAAGTGAAAGTGCCAAAGTTCATCAGTAAGTTTCAGGTCAACATCTTTTGGGTATGCTTCCATCAACAGTTCAACACCTTGCAGAATGTCTTGCTTAGATGCTGTCAGATTAGCAAGAAAGGGAAACGTTTGTACACAGTAGCTCTTCTTCTTAAATTGGCATCAAGTGCATCTAGTATAGGAATAAAGGATTTTATCCTAAACTTATCTTTTGAAGAGAGTTCATCTAAGGCATCAGGATGCATTTGATGATTGTAGTTTCTTTGTTTCTTAATATGTATTTTACTACTGACTGTTTAATGACAACATATAGTAGGATCTATACAAAAGTATCACCTTGTAGGATATGTGCATATCAACTCTGCAGTAAAACCATATAATTTTCCAGAAACAGTCGACTTCACAAGTACATACAGAGGAGGAAGTCACGGTGGTATTGAGTGTACAAATGATGTTTTGTGCTGTTCTATAAGCTCTGTTTAGTATTGTTACGTATCTGCTTGTTCTATAAGCTCTGTTTAGTATTGTTACGTATCTGCTTGTTTGATAATTTCCCGTAAAAATTCTGCCCGAGGAACTTCAGCAATACAAGTCATTTCTTAAATAAAACTAGTCTATTCTTTCTCAATACAACTTTGCAATACACAGAATTTCCACAGTCAATTTAACTTAAACCCACGCTATAATTCACAACGATTCACGCACTTTACTTACGGTCACTACCGCTTACTTGACTCAATTATCTGTCTCCATATCTGTCTATCTGCCATTATATCTCCGCTTTATTTGCCGGGCCTATATACTAAAATAGAGGGCGCCTAAAAAAGACTAGAGTTGCCAGGAATAGTCAAGATCCTTCTAGAAACACCAGCGCGCATGCTTCCAGCGTCACATAACTTCCGCTGTTGTAACAGTATATTGTAACTGCCTGCTGCAATGGTGAAAAAAATGCAAGAAACTGTTTTCTGAGCGATGTAGATATTGTACACATGTAAGGAACATTACACAAACTTATTCATGGCTGTTTTATGACACAATCATCCACTGAGAAAACAAGTAGTAGGCAACTTTTGAATATGTTTATTAACATGTTTGGAAACAGATGTTCAACAGGCAATGAATTTTTATTAAAAAGATAAGAGTAACTGTTCAACTGATGGTACTATTAGCATGAAAACACTGTTTGATCCATTGTATTGCTAGTCCTAGCTAAAAACATTTCAAAGGAGTCGAATATAAATGTTTATCAGTAGGTGAAGTTATCAGTGCGATGTGAAATTCGTAAACAATAGCCGGCATCATGCCAAAGTTATATTTAGTATTCCCAGTGTTGTATTCAGTTGTGAATGAATGTTTTTAAATTATGCAGATCGAAAAAACACAGTGTAGTTATAATATATAAGAATGCAGAGTGCATAGCCAGGGGCAAGAATACCCACATGTGTGCTTGTCTTAAATGAGACTGATTTGTTTCTGAAACGAACAGAAAGGTAAACAATATCTTAGTGTTAATGAATTTCCATTGTCAGAAAATCCAGTTTAGCAGCCATTCAGTGCCCAACCAATTTCTGTTA